GACGGTCAGCACAGAGAAGCTCCGGAAGCCGGCATGCCTGCCCGGAGGTGGCCGTGCAGCCCCCTGGCGCTGGCCACCCCCCTCCGGGCGCTCCGCGGCCCCGCACGGCGCACTCACCGTCTTGTACATCTTGTACTGCAGGTTGGACTTGGGGCTGAAGACCCTGTCGGTGCCCGTGGAGCCCAGCGGCTTGGCCACCTGCGTGAGCAGCAGGAAGTCGTTGCACAGGAAGCCGTAGAGCTCCTTGCTGCTCTTGGCCTTGTACAGCTTGCCGCTGTGCAGGAACTTGCGCGGCCCCAGGCAGTTGGTCACCGAGTTGAACACGAGTTGCTGAGGGAGGGAGACAGAGCAGAGAGGCGGAAGGTGAGGCTGGGGGAGGCGGAGGGTGAGGCTGGGGGAGGCGGAGGGTGAGGCTGGGGGAGGCGGGAGGGTGAGGCCGGGGGAGGCGGAGGGTGAGGCTGGGGAGGCAGAGGGTAAGGCTGGGGGAGGCGGAGGGTCAGGCCGGCAGAGGCAGGGGTCCTGCTGCCGAAGCACGGGCTGCGTCCAGTCTGGGCCAGAAAGACCGGGAGGTTATTGTGCTGCTGGCCGCATGGAGCCAGAAGGTCACGGTTCCATTCCCGGTCAGGGCACAGGCCTGGGTTGTGGGCTCCATCCCCAGTAGGGGGCGTGCAGGAGGCAGCCGATCCATGGTTCTCTCTCATTGTTGACGTTTCTATCTCTCGCCCTCTCCTTCCCTCTCTGACATCAACAAAAAAGGCAAAATAAAAATGAATTTAAAAAGGGAATGTCGCGCCAAAACAGGTTTGGCTCAGTGGTAGAGCGTCGGTCTGCGGACTGAAGGGTCCTGGGTTCGATTCTGGTCAGGGGCATGTACATTGGTTGCGGGCACATTCCCGGTAGGGGGTGTGCAAGAGGCAGTTGATTGATGTTTCTCTCTCATCGACACGTCTAGCTCTTTATCTCTCTCCCTTCCTCTCTGTAAAAAATCAATAATATATATATATAAAGGAATGTCGTGCTGAGTGAAATAAGCCGGACAGGAAATGGGAAGAACCACAGGATCTCACTCATGGGTGGGATATAAACCCTAAAGCCACAAATGCACAAACACAAGCTCGTCAGTGCAGTGCAGGGCTCTGGGGAGGGTCCCGGAGCGGGAGGGAAGGGTGGTGGGTCAGCCAGATGGTGACAGGAGACCTGACTGCGGTGGGAACACAAGGCGATTACAGATGGGGATCACAGAACGGTACGCTGAAGCCTGCGTGACCTCATTAACCAACGTCACCCCAACGACTTCAGTTTGAAACCCTTTTAGGACCTTCGGCGATGCAGAGCTCAGGGTGCGAGGGATGCCGCACGCACAGGACAAACACTGCGTTAGTGTGAATCCACCTTAGCCAGCTCACCGGTACTGAGGTGTGAAGAGTGCAACTTCCTCCTTCTGCTTCCCAAGCCTTAGAGATGGCCCGAGTGCTAAAATGCAGCTAGCTCTATCACCCCCACCGGGCTCCATCACCCCCACCGGGCTCCATCACCCTTACCGGGCTCCATCACCCTTACCGGGCTCCATCACCCCCACCGGGCTCTATCACCCCCACCGGGCTCTATCACCCCACCGGGCTCCATCACCCCCACCAGGCTCCATCATCCCCACCGGGCTCCATCATCTTCTCTATCACCCACACTCTATCAGCCCCCCTGGCTCTATCATCTCATGCTCTATCACCACCACCCCAGCTCTATCATCTCTGGCTCTATCATCTCATACTCTATCACTCACACTCTCACACAGGCTCTTTTATCCCCGGCTCTATCATCTCGTGCTCTGTCACCCAGTGGCTCTATCATCTCCTGTGAGCAGGTGAAGGGGCAGAGGAAGCCTGAGGCAGGAACAACCTCACTACAGCCTCCCTTTAGAGGCAGCCGGGAGGCTGAGGGAGAGGGAGGCCCCGCCCTGCCCGGCAGCAAACGTCCCAGCCCCAGGCATCACATCCGGGCCTTGGGCGATGCTCCACCCAGCAGCCCTCAGGGCGAGGCTCTCTCCAGAGCTCCCTGACCCCGATCCCGAGGATAAAATCCCATTCACACTGAGCCAGACCAGGAGCCTGCCTGTGCGCTGAGGGCTGGCAGACAGCGGACAGAGAGCCATGACGCAGACACGGGGTTTGTGTGTAAAACGTGTTGGGAAATGGAGGAGGAGTGAGGCCGCTTGTGTGAGAAATAAGACGCTAGAAAGAAACCAGCAAATCAGAGGAAATGAAAAGAGCTGTCGGAAACGGAAAGGCAGTAACGGAATTTGAACTCGTTGGAGGGTCCACAGCACGTTGGGAGAGCTGGGCTGTGGGCTGGAGGGCCGGTCCATGGCCTGTGCCCGTAGGGCTGGTACCGGGGTCCATGGGGCCGGGCCCGCCCCCCGCCCCCCGCCCCAGGGCCTCACCTCGGACAGGCCCTCGCACTGCACGTGGGCCTGGATCCACTCCAGGCGGTCGGAGTTCTCCTTCTCCCGCACGCCCTCGTTCACCTGCGAGCACAGCTCCTCCGCCTTCTCCAGGGCGAGCCGCAGGTGGCTGTGGTCGGGGTGGTTCTCGGGGGTGTTCTCCAGGATCTGCGGGGGCCCCGGCACGGCGTGGGGGGGCGCCCAGGGTGCCGTGCTGAGGCCGGGACGCGGAGGAGCCACGCGGGCGGACAGGGCGTGCAGCCACTCCCTCCTCCCGAGGGCCCGTGGGGACGGGCGATGGGGTGCCCGTTGCTTGCACTTGGGGTGGGAGGGGAGTGGCACCGAGCCGGCACTGGGACAGAATCAAGGTCCCAGCTCTCACTTCCCATGTTCAAGGTCAAAGCCACTTGGTGGCCCGGCTGGAGGTCACGTATTATTAGCTCTTTCGGGATAAACAGCTGCTCTTTCCGAATGCACAGCACAGGTGCCTGACCTCCCTCCCCCCGGACAGCGGGGGCAGGCGGGTGGGGCCGTCCTGGGGGGAGGACCATCCCAGGGGGAGGGGGCAGGCAGCGGGAGGACCGTCCCGGGGGGAGGACCGTTCCGGGTGCGGGCAGAGGGGGCAGGCGGGGGGGGGACCGTCCTGGGGGGAGGGGGCAGGGGGGGGGACCGTCCCGGGGGGAGGACCATCCCGGGGGAGGGGGCAGGCCGGGGGAGGACCGTCCCGGGGGGAGGACCGTCCCGGGCAGAGGGGGCAGGCGGGGGGAGGATCGTCCCGGGCAGAGGGGGCAGGCCGGGGGAGGACCGTCCCGGGGGTAGGACCGTTCCGGGTGCGGGCAGAGGGGGCAGGCGGGGGGGGGACCGTCCTGGGGGGAGGGGGCAGGCGGGGGGGGACCGTCCTGGGGGGAGGGGGCAGGGGGGGGACCGTCCCGGGGGGAGGACCATCCCGGGGGAGGAGGCAGGCAGGGGGGGGCCGTCCCGGGGGGAGGACCGTTCCGGGTGCGGGCAGAGGGGGCAGGGGGGGGGGACCGTCCTGGGGGGAGGGGGCAGGCAGCGGGAGGACCGTCCCGGGGGGAGGACCGTTCCGGGTGCGGGCAGAGGGGGCAGGCGGGGGGGGGACCGTCCTGGGGGGAGGGGGCAGGCGGGGGGGGACCGTCTTGGGGGGAGGGGGCAGGGGGGGGGACCGTCCCGGGGGGAGGACCATCCCGGGGGAGGGGGCAGGCAGGGGGAGGGCCGTCCCGGGGGGAGGACCGTCCCGGGTGCGGGCAGAGGGGGCAGGCGGGGGGGGGACCGTCCTGGGGGGAGGGGGCAGGCCGGGGGAGGACCGTCCCGGGGGGAGGACCGTTCCGGGTGCGGGCAGAGGGGGCAGGCGGGGGGGGGGGACCGTCCCGGGGGGAGGACCATCCCGGGGGAGGAGGCAGGCAGGGGGGGGACCGTCCCGGGGGGAGGACCGTTCCGGGGGAGGGGGCAGGCAGGGGGAGGACCGTCCCGGGGGGAGGACCATCCCGGGGGAGGGGGCAGGCGGGGGGAGGACCGTCCCGGGCAGAGGGGGCAGGCCGGGGGGGGACCGTCCCGGGGGGAGGACCGTTCCGGGTGCGGGCAGAGGGGGCAGGGGGGGGGGGACCGTCCCGGGGGGAGGACCGTCCCGGGGGGAGGACCGTCCCGGGGGGAGGACCGTCCCGGGGGGAGGACCGTCCCGGGGGGAGGACCGTTCCGGGTGCGGGCAGAGGGGGCACTCACGTTCTTGATGATGAGGGGGTAGCGGGTCACGCGCTGCATGGGCTTCAGGATGAAGCTGGAGAGCGGCATGCCCTTGCAGCGCGGGTCCATGGCCAGCCTCTGCGGGGAGCGCCGCGAGGGTGAGGCGGCGTGAGGGCGCCGGGAGCCGGGTGCCCCGCCGGGCTGGGCGTGGGGGTCCGCGACCTGGCCCTCTCCAGCTCTCCGAGCCCACCCCACCGCACTGGTCAGCCACACCTGCCCGCTGGCGCCCCCTATTGTTATCCATCTACCCAGGACCCGGCCGGCCGGCCGTGGCAGAGCTTGGCATTGAATCGGCCCCTGGCGCTCCGGGGCCCCGTGGGCTGGGGCAGGGCCGCCCGGCGGCTGCTGACCTTGACGAAGTCCTTGAAGTCGGGGGCCTCGTCCGTCTTCTGCTGGATGAGGGCGGCCCCGTTGAGCTGGCAGCTGCAGAAGCGGATGTAGGGCTGCATGTGCGGCAGCTGGGCCGTCAGGATGTCCCCGATCATCTTCACCGGCATCCTCTCCCCCGACAGCTTCTTGCGGACACGCAGCGCTCTGCGCAGAGACAGGTGAGACCGCCCTCCGCTGTGGGTGCGTGGGTGGGTGGGTGGTGGATGGTGGATGAGTGAGTGGGTGGATGGATAGGTGGATGAATGTGTGGGTGGGTGGATGGATGGGTGAGTGGATGGGTGGGTGGGTGGGTGGGTGGATGGATGGATGGATGGATGGATGGATGAGTGAGTGGGTGGATGGATGGATGGGTGGGTGGGTGGATGAGTGAGTGGGTGGATGGATGGGTGGATGGATAGGTGGATGGGTGAGTGGGTGGATGGGTAGGTGGATGGGTGGGTGGATGAATGGATGGATGAGTGGATGGATGGGTGAATGGGTAGGTGGACGGATACGTGGGTGGGTGGGTGGATGGATGGATGGATGGATGGATGGATGGATGGATGGATGGATGAGTAAGTGGGTGGCTGGCTGGCTGGCTGGCTGGATGGATGGGTGAGTGGGTGGGTGGACTGATGGATGGGTGAGTAGGTGGGTGGATGGATGGATGGATGGGTGGATGGATGGATGGATGGATGGATGGATGGATGGATGGATGGATGGATGAGTAGGTGGGTGGATGGATGGATGGATGGATGAATAGGTGGGTGGATGAATAGATGAATAGATGGATGGATGGATGGGTGGATGGGTAGGTGGGTGGATGGATAGATGGATGGATGGATACATGGATGGATGGATGGGTGAGTGGGTGGAAGGGTAGGTGGGTGGATGGATATATGGATGGATGGCTGAATGGATGGGTGGATGGGTAGGTGGGTGGATGGATAGATGGAAGGATGGGTGGATGGACGGATGTGTGAGTGGGTGGGTGGATGGATGAATGGATAGATAGGTGGGTGGATGGGTAGATGGATGGATGGATAGGTAGGTAGATGGGTGGGTGGATGGGTGGTTGAATAGATGGATGGATGGACAGGTAGATGAATGGGTAGGTAGATGGGTGGATAGGATAGATGGGTAGGTGGATGGATGGATGGATGGATGGGTGAATGGATGGGTGGATGGGTGGATCGGTAGGGGAAACACAGAAGGGCCTGGGGAGCCACTCCAGCCAGGCATCCGTGAGCCAACCCCTTGGGGACACACCCACCACCTCCCACCCCACGGGGATCTGCCAAGCAAAAGGCTCTTTAACCTGCAGGTGTGTTTTCCCAAGAAAATCTCTGAGTTTGTTATAAACAGCTTGTCTCAGCCCTTCACTCAGTTCCGGTAGGTTCCGGGGTCACCTCACCCCCTTGTGCCAGGCGAGAAGGCAGCGCCCTCCACGGGCCCCAGCCCAGCACTGACCACGCACCAGGCGCCCCAACAAGAGTGCGTGGCGGGTGTCGCCGTGGTCCTCACCGAGGGAACACGGAGGCCGGGCGTGGAGTGGCGCTCAGGGACACACGGGGCGGGAACAGCGTCTGTGTCTGAGTGAGCCAGCCGCCCTTCCTCTCCTCCCCCCTTTCCCCTCGCCTCAGCTCAGGGAGGGAATGAGGTCTTCCTCGGAAGCCCCCTGGTCCTTCCTCTGGAGCAGATTTCCCACCTTCCTCTCCCTCTCAGGGCACATGGATTAATTACCACAACCCTGGGCGCACCAAAAAGTATATTTTTGCCAATCTAACAAAATAAAAAGGTATAATTTTGATTCATTCACACCAGATAGCTATTGTTATTGTGTGTTTTTTGTTGTTGTTGTTTTTTTTTTTTTTAATCCTGTTTTTACTGATTACAGAGAGAGAGGGAAAAGAGAGAGAAACATTAATGATGAAAGAGAATCGCGGATCAGCTGCCTCCTGCACGCCCCTGACTGGGATCAAACCAGCAACCCAGGCCTGTGCCGGGACCGGGAATCGAACCCCTGGCCTCCTGGTCAGAGGTCAGTGCTCAGCCTGAGCCACGTCCGCAGGGTTGCGGTCGTGCCTTTGACAATCTGAGGGCGAAGAGGCCCAAGGTGTCGCGTGTTCTCAACGCCTGGCAGCCTCCCGCCCCCGCCCAGCGGGACTCCGCCAGCACCGAGGGCAGGCGCTGCCCCTGCTGCCCAGGTCCACACAGAGCCTCGCCCTGCCCCCACCCCCCCAGGAGGCAGCCGTGGACTGCGAGGACGCACAGGGCCCGCGTTCAGGAAAAGCCGCTTTGACCACGGGACCAGGCGCTCGGGCTGGCAGGTCCCGGGCCGGGCATGTGGGCAGGGAGGGGGCCTGCTCCCCGCTGGCCGCCGGGGCCCGCCGGGGTGTCTGCGAGGGCCTGGAGCCCGATCCTCTCTCAGTACCGGGGGTAAACTGAGGCTCGAAGGGCAGTGAGTGGGCTCCAGCACAGCCTCCTACCCCTGGCCACTGCCTCCGAGAGCCACTGGGAACAAGCTGTCAGCAGCACTCGGGCCGGCTCCCGGGCCAGGACCCCGTCTCCGCCTGCGGGGCTGGGACTGTCCCGGGAGACAGACACTGGCCGGTGGGCACGGGTCCGAGGGGGCGTGTGGGGCCATGCCCGGAGGGAGGCAGCCAGCGGAGCGGTGGCCTGGCTCTGGAGACCCTAGGCCCACAGCCAACCGAGGCCCGGGGGCCCTGAAGGGGGGGGCGGGTTAGAAAAGCGTGAGAGCCCACAGGAGAGAGGGTGCCCGAAGGAGAGAGGGTGCTCACAGGAGAGAGGGTGCCCGCAGGAGAGAGGGTGCCAACAGGAGAGAGGGTGCCAACAGGAGAGAGGGTGCCCGCAGGAGAGAGGGTGCCCGCAGGACAGAGGGTGCCCGCAGGACAGAGGGTGCTCGCGGCGGCGGTGAGCACAGGCAGAGGAAGCAGCACACGCATGGCGGGACGCAGGACAGACGCACAGACAGACGGATGGATGGACAGCGGCCGCGGGGAGGCAGGCGGTCAGGCTCAGGACGGACACACAGACAGACGAACGCATGGATGGATGGACGGACACACGAACAGACACACGGACAGACAGCAGCTGCGGGGAGGCGGCGGTCAGGCTCAGGATGGACAGACACACAGACGGATGGACAGACCGACAGACAGACACACGGACAGACAGCGGCCGCGGGGAGACAACGGTCAGGCTCAGGATGGACGCACGGACGGACGGACACACAGACAGACACACAGGTGGACGGATGGACAGCGGCCGCGGGGAGGCAGTGATCAGTCTTAGGACAGACAGACACACAGACGGACGGACAGACGGACACACGGACAGACAGCGGCCGCGGGGAGGCGGCGGTCAGGCTCAGGATGGACGCACGGACGGATGGACGGACACACAGACACACAGATGGACGGACAGACAGCGGCCGTGGGGAGGCGGGGTCAGGCTTACTTCAGCAGCTTGACGTTACACATGATCAGCTCCTTCCAGTTCACGAAGGTGATGGCGCCCTCCTTCTCCGTCAGCATCTCGGCCTCCATCAGGGGCTTCTGGAAGATCTGGACAGAGAGCAGCTCAGAGCGGCGGCCGGAGCCCTGCCCGGAGGGGCCCGGGAGCCAGCTGGGCTGGGGGCCAGCCGGGGCCCTCGAAGGAGGGCCAGCCTGTCGCCAGGACACAGCTGAGGCCGGTGCCCAGCCGCCCTCCGTCCAACCTGCCGCCAGGGCGCGGGCACAGGGCGCGGGCACAGGCACAGGGCACAGGGGACAGGGGACAGGGCGTGGGCACAGGGCGTGGGCACAGGGCACAGGGCGTGGGCACAGGGCGTGGGCACAGGGCACAGGACGTGGGCACAGGGCGCGGGCACAGGGCGCGGGCACAGGCACAGGGCACAGGGGACAGGGGACAGGGCGTGGGCACAGGGCGTGGGCACAGGGTACAGGGCGTGGGCACAGGGCGCGGGCACAGGCACAGGGCACAGGGCGTGGGCACAGGGCACAGGGGACAGGGCGTGGGCACAGGGCGTGGGCACAGGGCACAGGGCACAGGGCGTGGGCACAGGGCGCGGGCACAGGCACAGGGCACAGGGCGTGGGCACAGGGCACAGGGGACAGGGCGTGGGCACAGGGCGTGGGCACAGGGCACAGGGCACAGGGCGTGGGCACAGGGCACAGGGCGCGGGCACAGGGCGTGGGGACTCTTCTGCCAGGACCCCCCACACACACACACAGAGGTTACCTCGGTGACCAACCCTCCCACACACACACATGCACGGCCATTACCTCAGCAACCAGCCACACACACACACACTCACACACACACACACTCACACACCACACACTCACATACACGCACACACACACCCACACACATACTCACACACCACACACACACACACTCACACACGCACACACACACCCACACACATACTCACACACACTCACACACCACACACTCACACACACTCACACACACACACACTCACACACACGCTCACACACACACACACACACACGCTCACACGCACACACACACACACACACACTCACACACACTCACACACACATACACACACTCTCACACACACACACACGCACACACACACACTCACACACACTCACACACACATACACACATACTCTCACACACACACACACGCACACACATGCACACTCACACACGCACACTCTCACACTCACACACACTCACACACACACACTCACACACACACACTCACACATACACACACGCACACACACGCTCACACACACACTCACACACACACACAGTCACACTCACACACACACTCACACACGCACACACACGCTCACACACACTCACACTCACACACACTCACACACACATACACACACACTCTCACACACACACACGCACACACATGCACACTCACACACGCACACTCACACTCACACACACTCACACACACACACTCACACACACACACTCACACATACACACACGCACACACACGCTCACACACACACTCACACACACACACACACAGTCACACTCACACACACACACTCACACACGCACACACACGCTCACACACACACACACACTCACACACTCACACACACACACACACTCACACACACACTCACACACACACACGCTCACGCTCACACGCGCACACACACTCACACACTCACACACACACACACACTCACACACACTCACACACACGCTCACACACACACACACTCACACACTCACATACACGCACACACACGCTCACACACACACACGCACACACCCACACACACGCTCACACGCACACACACGCACACATACGCACACGCACACACACGCACTCACACACCACACACTCACATACACGCACACACACACACCCACACACATACTCACACACCACACACACACACACACACTCACACACGCACACACTCACACACACTCACACACCACACACTCACACACACACACACTCACACACACGCTCACACACACACACACACGCTCACACGCACACACACACACTCACACACACTCACACACACATACACACACTCTCACACACACTCACACACACACACATGCACACTCACACACGCACACTCTCACACTCACACACACTCACACACACACACACACACACACTCACACATACACACACGCACACACACGCTCACACACACACACTCACACACCACACACACGCTCACACGCACACACACTCACACACACACTCATACACACACACATACGCACACGCTCACACGCACACACACTCACATATACGCACACGCTCATACGCACACACACACGCTCACACGCACACACGCTCACACGCACACACACGCTCACACACACACACACTCACACACACACTCATACACACACACATACGCACACGCTCACACGCACACACACTCACATATACGCACACGCACACATGCACACACACGCTCACACGCACACACGCTCACACGCACACACACGCTCACACACACACTCACACGCACACACACGCTCACACACACACACGCTCACACACACACGCACACACACGCTCACACACACACACGCTCACACACACACACGCACACACACGCTCACACACACACACGCTCACACGCACACACACTCACACACACGGACACGCACGCACACACGCTCACACACACACACGCTCACACACACACACGCACACACACGCTCACACACACACACGCTCACACACACACACGCACACACACGCTCACAAACACACACGCTCACACGCACACACACTCACACACACGGACACGCACACACACACTCACACACACTCACACACACATACACACACGCTCACACACACACACATACACACGCTCACACGCACACACACACGCTCACACGCACACACTCACACACCACACACACGCTCACACGCACACACACACACACACTCATACACACACACATACGCACACGCTCACACGCACACACACTCACATATACGCACACGCTCACACGCACACACACACGCTCACACGCACACACGCTCACACGCACACACACGCTCACACACACACACACGCACACACGCGCTCACACGCACACACACACACGCTCACACGCACACACACGCTCACACACACACACGCTCACACACACACGCACACACACACGCTCACACACACACGCTCACACACACACACGCACACACACGCTCACACACACACACACTCACACACACGGACACTCACACACAAGGACACGCACATACACACTCACACACACTCACACACACATACACACACGCTCACACACACACATACACACACACACGCTCACACACACACGCTCACACGCACACGCACACACACACTCACATGCACACACGCTCACACACACGCACACGCACACACACGCGTGTGCACCTCGGTGACCAGCTGCAGGTCGCTGACGTAGTTCTCCTCGGTGACGATGAGCTCGTGGATGTAGCCCTGCCGCTTCCGCTCCGCGGGGGTCAGCATGTCCAGCAGGTGGAGGTCGGAGCACCCTGCAAGACACGGCGGCCGGTCACGCCCGGCTCCGGGAGGGCCGCGGGCTCGGGGCGGACGTGTGCCCCCAACCCCACAGACAGTCCCGTCCCCGCCTGGCCCATGGTGCCCGTGTGCGGAAACGGTCTCGCCGGCGAGCTCACTCACACTGCGTCCGGGCAGGACGACAGGACGGACAGACCGACAGCCCGGACGGCGGAGGCGGGCGAGCAGGTGCCCGCAGGCGGCCGTGGGTGCGCCTGGCACACACACTCCCGGAGCCGTGGAGGCCGGCCCTGCCTGCCCGAGGGCGGCTCCCGTGTCCAGCCCGCGAGGGTCCGTGCCCGTTGTCTCAGTCCGGCCACCAGCGTGGCCCTCGGTCCCCGCACCGCGCCGGCCGGCCCCGCGGCCCCCGCTGCCCCAAAGCCACCAGTGCCAGCCCATCTCCTGCAGCTCCGCTGGGCGGCGTAGGAGGCGGGCGTGGGCGCGTGTCTGAGCTCAGAGACCAGCTGTCTCCGACTCGCAGGCGAGGAAACAGGCTCCCGCGCTCTTGGCCCACTGACACTGCCCCAGCCAGACTCTGCCCCAGCCAGGCTCTGCCCCTGCCAGGCTCTGCCCTAGACCCTGGTGTTGGGCCCACGCTGCAGGTGGGACAGGGTGACCCTGTGCTGCTCCCCGATGGCCCGGGGCCTCCAGGCGGGTGCGTGTCCCCCAGGCCAGCCCGGGCCCGGACGGAACCGCAGGAGCCTGCAGGCAGAGCGGGGCCCTCCCCTGCCCACGGGCTGCCCTGCCAGGCCCGGGCGGGAGGGCTGAGGGCGCCCTCCTCTGCCCCTTCCTTCGCTGGGCCTGGAGGCCGGGCGGTGGGCGGAGGCTGCCCGGCCGCCGGGCCTGAGGGAGGCTCTGTTCTCCGGAGAAAGCTGCCAGCCGGGGGCCCCCCTTCCATCAGCGGGTCTTCATTCTCCCAGAACCCGGTGTGGGACCCAGAGCCCCCACGTGGCGGGGGGGGGGGCGTCATTTCACCTGTTCCCATCCCTTCTCCCCACAGGGCACCTGGGGCCCGGCCAGGCCCGGCAGGGACCCGCCCAGCGGGCTCCGGGAGTCCGCCAGTGACGCGGGCTGGAGGGGCGGCTCTGCCCCGGGTCCCGGGAGCCAGCTCGGCTGACCCGTCTGAGAGCCGGAGCCTGTGAGGCGGACGGCGCCTCCGGGCGGCGGTCCCGGGTTCCAGGCAAAGGCCTCCCCGCCCGGGGGACCCGCCGGGAGCTTCCGGCCCCGCGGGCCCCTGCCCCTGCCCAGCGCCCTCCGGAGTGCGGAGGCCTCACCCCCCGGCCGGGCGGGGCGGGCGGGGAGGCCGGGAGCAGCCAGGGCAGCCGTCCTCGTCAGGCCTGTCCTCCCCGGTGGATGGTCCGCCCGGCGCGGGTGTGGCGACGGGAACAGCCACCAGCTGCCCCTGCGGGCCGCCCCAGGAACAGCCTCCGCCTCACACTCTCCTGCCAGTGGCCTGCGACCCAGGACAGGGGTCAGCCCTGGACGGGGTGGCGTGAGCTCCCGGCTCTCAGGCTGCCTCCCCCGGGCCCTCCCCACCGGGCAGGCGGGCCCTGGCTGACCCTGTTCCATGTCCTGTCAGCTTTCCCTGGAGAACGCGGTGGCGCTGGACTCCTCCCCCAAAAACACACCTGCACACTGACTACAACACACACCGCGCACAACACACACACATGTATACCGCACACAAAATACACACGAGCACATGGCACACAAAACCACACATGCATGCACACTGCACACAATGCACGCACACACCGCGCACAACACACACGTGCACACGGCACACAACATACATACACACACACCGCGCACAACACACACACATGTATACCGCACAAATACACACGAGCACACGGCACACAAAACCACACATGTATGCACACTGCACACAACGCACACACACACCGCGCACAACACACACATGCACACGGCACACAACACGCACACGCGTGCACAGCGCTTTGCCAGGGCCACAGCCTCACGCTTGTTCCTGCTCCCACTCACTCGCTCCACGGTATTTGCTGGTGTCCTCCCTCCAGCCTGGCGCTGACTGGGCGGATCCAGACGGAAAAGGAGCCCCCCTGCAGAGCTCACGGCTGAGACCTTGGGGTTCAGTGGCCCCTGCCCTCCCACAGGTATAGGCAGTGCTGCCCCGCCAGGTTGCGGGTGGTACTGCACCCTCGCAGCCCCAGGCTGAGCCTGGGCCCCCGGGGCCATTGACCAGAGCTGCCCGCTGGCACGTGGTAGCTGTCCCAGGACGGGCAGGCGGCCTGCAGTGCCCGGGACAGGGCTGCCCACCCAGTGCACCCACATCCGGTGAGAAACAGTCCCATCGCTGGACGGCGACAGCCCGGCCAGCCCAGGCGGCTGCGCGATGGTGCGATGGGCCTGGCTGCCCGGGAGGAAGGACGAGGGAGGCGCTGGGTCCGGAGCTTCTGAGGCGCCGAGCTGCCGGCGTGCTGTCCCGGGCTCGGAGCCGGAGCCGCGTCCCCGGGGCCCGGCCAGGTCACGGGGACCCGAGGCCGCTGCCCAGGGCGTGAGGGTGCGAGGCCTTTCCTGGGGCGGGGCCGGCCGGCAGGCAGAGGCCAGGGCCCAGCCAGGCGGAAGCGGAGGACCGTGGCCGCCCTCTGCCCGCCCCGTCAGCGGACATCGGTCCCACCGCTCGGTCCACGGGACGGCGTCTCCGGGTTGGCCTGACCGCGGGGTCCGGGCCTCGGCCCCCGTCTGCTGCAGGCGGCCCCCCGGGCCAGCCCGGCCCGGGAATGGGCCTAACGCGGCCTCGGGCTGGGCAGCCTCGGAACAGGAGGCCGGGGCCACGGGGGCGGGATGCAGGCCGGGCCCAGGTCCCCGCTGTCCCCGTGAGCGGGGCCTCTGAGAGGGGACCCAGCACCCGCTCCAGCCTGTACACAGCTGGGCGCTGAGCGATCGAGAAGGGGGAGGAAATGACTGGGACCAGCCAGCGCGTGGTTTCCCGTCAGCGCCATCTTCACGTCACTGAAGGCGTGGCGCGCGTGGCTGCGTGGCGCGCGTGGCTGCGTGGCTGGCGCTGGAATTCCCGGGGCCACGTGTGCCTTCCTGGCTCCCGTGTTTCTGCCTCCAGTGCGCGCCCCTGCGGTGTTGGGGTCTCCTTGCCGGCGGCCGTAAATCAGTCCTTTGGGTGCAGAGACGTTTCTGCTGGGTTCCAGGAGGCGGGAGTGTGACTGGAGGCTTCTGGGAATCTGTTCTGGCACAGGAGGGCCTGGAGCGGCCTTCCAGGGGCCAATGGCGGGCTGGGCGGGCGGCGGGAGGTCCCAGCAGGGGTCCAAGCAGAGCAGAGGAGGGAGCAGACGCTGGTGACGGGTGGATGGGAAGCGGGTGCGTCGTAAATCCCATCCCCTCCCTCACTGGCCGGTCATGGGCGGCCCCAGGCTGTAGCTGTTCAGTGAGAGACGGCCCAGCCTGGCCACGGTTCTCCTGCCGTGGGTGACACCCCTCCAGGCTCAGGGCCCTCAGAGGCGTCCTCTCACCCCCCCCCCGGACCCAGCCCGCCCCCACTCCCACCGCCATGGCGTCCCCCTGTTCCCGCTGAAGAATAAAGCATAAAAGAAGCTCAAAGCTCACTCTCCGGAGGCTCTGAGGCCTGCTTCCCGGCAACGAACAAACTCATAAAAATCCCCACGACTGCGGCCCCGGGCGGGGGCCACCCTGGTGGCCAGTGTGAGCGCCCCTCACCCCACCCCACCCCAGCTCTGTGCCTGCACAGCCTCCTGGGACCTTCCCCAGGAACCCTGTGTGGTAGCTACTGCTGTCCCCGGGGCGCAGAAAGGAAACTGAGGCACGGGGACGGTCAGTACGTGCCCAAGTCTCAGTTAATTATTGGCAGCGGGAGTCTGGCCCACAGCACCTGCCCTCAGCCCCTGCGCCCGCCTGGCCGGGAGGGCGGGTGTCAGTCCCTCCGGCTGTGACAAGCTCCCCGGTCTGGCACTCAGACGACACAAACGCTGTCTCAGCCTGGAGTCTGGAAGTCCAAGGTCATGGTGCAGCAGGTCTGCTTTCCTCAGGCCTCTCCCCTCCTAGCAGACATGCTGTTTCTGTGAGTCCTCACGTGGCCTCCTCACATGGCCGCCTCACGTGGCCTCCCCACGTGGACTTCCCCTCACACGTGGCCTCCCCCACGTGGACTTCCTTCCCACGTGATCATCTAACAGTGTTTCCCAAACTTTTGACATATGTGCACCCCTTCTATAATTTTCGTAACGCTGAGTGCCCCTCGTTCTCATGAGAACGTAGAATTAGGCGCAGCTAAGCACGGTGCAGGGCGTATCCCCACCAGACTCTTCCCAACCCCTGGGGGTGCACGTACTGCACTTTGGGAAACACTGACCTATGACAACGGTGCTCAAATCTCCTGCTTACAGGGACAGAGACAGGACGGGGCTCAGTCCAATGCCACGTCTCCACGTACGGCCCCCTCGGAGGCACTGAGGGTGAGGGCTCAGCATATGGACTTGGGGGAACACAATTTAGCCTGAACCCGTGGGCACACAGCTGAGAGGCCTGAACAGCGGAGCGAGGCGGCTGTTTCCGCCTCTGGCTGCAGAGCAGGGAGCTGGGCTGTATGTCCCTGTGGCAGCAGCTGGTGGGAACCGGGGCTGTGGCCCTGGAGCCAATGCCCCTCAGAATCCCTGCAGGCCGGGGCCGGGCAGCCACACCCCCAAACGCCAGCCTGGCCCGCAGGCGCTGCTCCGGGGGCACATCCCCGGGCGTCGCACTGGGTCCCCGGTCGCCCGCACTCGCCCGCTGCCCCTTTGGGACGGGCCAGCCTGAGCCATGGCCCCCTCGGGGGAAGACACCCCCCAAACCCACACGGCAGCGGCTCTGAGGACGAAACGTGAGTCTGTCCTGCTTTGTCTCTCACACAGTCCCCCCCAAAGGCTGTGCAGGGCCTCAGCCACCGAGGGGGCTGGGGCAGACTGACCACGGGGAGGTCCCTCCC